GGAGTTAAACAGTTACATACCAAGTACGAGAACCAGGACCATAATTTTTGGGGTGAGAGTTCCAAACGTTGGAGTGTCCCATTGCGGCGCCGCGGAGGAGGTTTCGATCCAACAACACGGTAGCTTAAGAATACGCAGGAGAAGCCTTGGCACTGTCTGCAGATATCAATTTATAGACAAACACTAAAATTAGGGTTTTGTTGGGTCAAATATTAATTGGGCTAAATTTTAGCCCAACTCTCCTCACGTTGCATTTTTGTGGGCCTTGAATTAATGAGTTCTTTCAATTTGATTAACCAATTCTCTAAAAATATTACTAAGGCTAACATAATCAATAATAAGTAATTCATGAAAAATATATAAACAACATATTTTTAGAAATACTTTATATGTTTTACACAAATAAATAAATATATATATATATATATAATGTAAAAGCCTAAAATTAATGGATATTACGAATTAGTAATAATAAAAATATAAGTTGCAATTAAAAAAATATGGTTTAAGAAAAATTATTTTTGTGACATAGGAAAAAATTAATTAATATTTTGTTTAATATTATTATAAAAAATTATTTCACAACTTTTATTTATTATTTCAAATATTTCAGGAAATCAAATATTTTCATTTGGATAAATAATTACAAATTTAAGTTGATTTCCCGTGTAATTGCTTTGATTATTTTCAAAATTTGTACTTGTGTTATTTAGCTTTGTGTATAATACTGTATAGCCAAAATAATCGTATGGTATGATTTAGTTATACTAAAATATCTGAAATTGGGGATGGTGATTTCCTACTTACTTTATGTTATCCAAAGAAAAATTAGAAATTCGTATTTATTACAATTTCCATGTGCTATCTTCTACAGTTTTTCCATATTTTTGACAATTCTCATGCTCTTGTTTGACTCAAGAACTAAAATGATTATTTACTTAAAGGAAAAAGTATGAACAAATATTATTTATAATGTATTAAATAGAGTTAAAACAATATTATTTTAAGAAATAAAAAGTAAGAGTATATCATATGTTTCTTAAAACAAATGGATAAAAGAGTAAATATTTTTTTTTGAAATAATATTATTTTAAGAAATAAAAATAAAAGTAAAATATATTTAAAGAAGAGAGTAAAAGAATAAATATACTATCTTTCAAAATAATATTATTTAAACAATAAAAGGAAAAGTAAAATATGTTTTTTTAAAAATAAATGAATAAATTAACTCTTTAGAAAATATGACAACAAAATGATATGAATATAAAAAATTAATATTAAATGATTAAAAAAATAATATTTAAATGATAAACATAGATTAAAAAAATCTTCTAGTATTTTTGTTTCTTATATTACATTATATTATGATTTTTTGTTCATTTATTGAATCCAAAAGTAACGAGCTTAAGGAATAAGACGTGTAAGTGGGATGGACATGAGCCAAGTGAATAAGTGATTAGAAGAACTTATATTCTTTAGGAGGAGGCATCATTTTTCTTGTAATTTTGCAAATTGGAATGGGAGCGAACGACAAACTTAACAACAAAGAGGGAAGGGTTGGGTTGAGAACAGCGTGCTGAGAAACACACACCTCTTCGATTATCAATTTCCGTTAGGGTTTGGTCTCTTTCTTCTTCCGAACCACCGCGATCGGAGGGAACACACGCCACTACAATATCAATCGTGCTGCGCAGAAGCTTTATTCGTAGTCAATTCCCACCGCCGGCCGCCCATTACGGTACGAATCTTTCTTTCCCCTAACTTCATTGATTTTCCCAACTTTCTTCAAAATCGTGCAAGGGTTTTCTTTCTTCTTTGATAATTGTGCTTGTATTTATCGAATTCATTCAATTTTCAATTTCCCCCGAAAGCATGCTGTCCTTCCCAGCAATTGTCATCTGATTTGCTATTCTAATTAGTGAATAGTTGAATTCGGTTATGGTTTCTGATTGAAAACTTTATTAATTGCAGATTGGGATATTGTTACGGAACTAGGGTTTAAGGAAGCGTTTGTTTTGAATTTGCTGGAACATATGAGATTACGATTATAGTTTGACTCGGTGATTGTGAGAAGAATATTATTGGGCAAAATGACGATACCGAAACGAAGCTATTCTCGAATTGACACATTGGAGCTGAAAGCTCTAATTGTTAGGAAGGTTGGTCATCAGAGAGCTGACAAGTACTTTGATCAGCTTCGAAGATTATTGAGTTCAAAGATAAGCAAGTCAGAGTTTGACAAAATTTGCATCGTGATAATTGGGAGGGAAAATATCCCTCTTCACAATCGACTAATTAGAGCGATTTTGAAGAATGCGTGTCTGGCTAAAGTCCCACCAGTGAGAGGCTCTGCAAAAGCAGGGAGTGCTTTTAGTGTAAAGGATTCAAATGGGTTGCAGAGGAGTTCTATCCAAACGTTGTATGGGGATGCGTTTCCTCCTTCGTTGCGGAGGATTGGCCCTTCAGCTGCTCGAGACCGAAGGTTCAAGGCCCGCCCAAATGCTTTGGGGCCCTTGGGAAAACCCCAATTTGGTCTTGCGTCTGATGAATTTATATGTAAAACACTGGAGCAGCAGAGTGCGACAGAACTGAATTCCCTTGGCAGTAGACCTCCAATTTCCGTTGAAGAAGGAGAGGAGGTTGAACAGATGGCTGGAAGCCCCAGCGTTCAAAGTAGAAGCCCTGTTACGGCTCCTCTTGGTATATCGATGAATTTTGTTCGTGGTGGAAGACGTCATTCTAATGTTTCATTATGTAGCAAAGGTTATCCAGAGACTTGTCACACCAATGGAGATCTCCCTGACACCAGATCTTTGAGGAGTCGTCTGGAGCAAAAGTTGGAGAAGGAGGGTTTGACCGTGACAGTAGATTGTGTAAATCTATTGAATAATGCACTGGATTCATACCTGAAGAGATTGATTGAATCCTTTATGGATTTAGCTGGGTCAAGATGTAGAAATGAGCACCTAAGACAGCAAAACAAGCAGATGGCGACCGGTTCAAATGTTTTGCTACCTGGAAGATGCATGCAAAAAGCAACTGGATCTGCGGGTGCATCTATTTTAGATTTTCGCCTTGCAATGGAATTAAATCCTAAAGTTCTTGGACCAGATTGGCCTATACAACTTGAGAAAATTTGCATACGTGCCTCTGAAGATTGAATCCGCCTATGTTACTGTAGGTCATATATTTACTGCTAGTTGAAATCTAAAGGTGGAGTTGGTAATCTGCAATTGCTGAAAGCTTGGAATGCGGAAGCGTTTGCTTTAGCTGACTTAAATTTGGATTTTTGTCTTCTCCTGAAGCTCCCCAGTTTACCAAAACAATAAACAACAGGATTTTAGATTTAAAGATTGCTGCTGATTTCTAGGGAGTGAGTCATGTTAATACAGAAAATATGTGAACTTCTAGATAGGATTAAGAAGTTCATTGTTTCACACTTTCAAGAGGGTCCCATTCTTCGTGGTATCCCGTTCTTATTCTTGTTTCTCTCTTCATCTCTTCTCTGTTGTACTTGTTTTAGTTCAACAATTCCTCATTGAAATATAACAGTGTTGCATTCTGAGTTCTAAATCTCACCAATGGCTGGTCGTTTATATTTGACAACAGGTTTCGGAATTGATTTTGGATCACTGCGACAATAGGCTTCTTAAATAGATGCTATAATAGAACAGTAGTCAATAATGCATCCTATTTTGAGTGTAAGGAATTTGATTACACGTGAGGTCGTTCCCACGCAAGCCTTAGGCTTGTAATATGGCAAGTAGTTCAGCTTTTAGGAGTAATATGGCAAGCGGTTGAGCTTTTAGGTTGTCCATGAAACCACAAACCCCGACTGGACTCGGGTTCCCCTGAGCAACCTGATCCTGTTTTGCACTGAACGTTACAACTCATCCAATGTTCAGTGGAGAAAGAGCCCTACAAAGATTTCCGCGTAGCTAAGACCTTGTTTACTGTCCACTATGCATCAGTGCTATATTCTAGCTAAAAGCCAACATTTTTTTACTTCCATAGTCGCGTTAATCTTGTTGGCACCCACGTTTGCAACACAAAAGTATTGTGTGCACTAACCTTTGCGATCATTATTCTTTTACAATACTGATACATCCTTTTTATAGCAGAGAAGTAAATTGTACATTTCAATTACAGAGGGAATGATATAAATTAGTTTAATACCTATTCCCAATTGCCAAACAAAAAGAACATATTACTAACCACATAAAAATATATTATGAACAACAACATACCATTTTTAAGTTAAAAATAATATCATATAATATAATGTTAACAATCAATAAGTAAAATCAATGTAACTAATGACCAATTCAATTGTTTTTTGTGGATCGGCAATGAGCAATTCAGCTTAGCTTATTATAGTTCGGTCTTCACAACAATAACTGAAAACATAACCAAATTGCAAGAAATGTTTCTTTATTTCATCAGTTTTTAATTTGATTAGTTTTTCAATCGATTTGTAAAAGCATAATTTAGATTTTGAATACGGTGTTCGCTATGACATGATAGCATATGACGTGATCTAGAAGAAGTGTGTTCTGCTATCAATCTTTAAGGTCTCATGCTCCATTTGCAAAACATAACATGCTTCTTTCCCTATAAATACGCCCATTTTACTCAATAATACCACCCTATGATCCCGTTTCACGTAAAATAACACCTACTAATATTTTTTATACTTAAAATTTGAACTTGATATTTTCCTTCACTTGTTTCCTCTCATTTCAAGACTGCAAAAAATTCATTTTCATAATGTCAGAGACATTTCGCTTTGCGGCCCGAATCAACTTATAAATGTTCCAGGTATCACCTTTTTAACAGTTATAATTCACTATTCTGACGAATTTTTTTTATGATCATTCTCCTCATTATTCTTAAAGTCTCATCTACTGTTTTAGTTTCCAAAGTATTAACCACTTCTTTTTTTCTCGTAGTCCTTTTTTGTTCAAGTGACCACGCGTATGTTACTTGTAAGAACATAGTTACTCAGAGAAGGAAATGCTAATGATTCCAAAATTTATTTCGAGAAAAAAAACAGGTCTGCAGTTACACAACCGAGTATATTGGTTAGTAGCATAGAGAGGGACAATGTAAGATCAGAATTAGTGCAGTCATCCAAAAGATTTGTCTGTACTCCGAAGCTTCCAGTCTGAATCGTAGAACAAAGATTGACACTGTTGATAGTGATCAGGCTGCTTTCTCTAGGCTTGCCATATACGTCATATAAATAGTCCACAAGTACGAAAATGAATTGGTGATCAGTGGCTGCCAATATGAAACAATGCAGAGTCAATAAGAAAGGAACTTTTCTGGCTGCCAAACTTAGTTGCTGTATGACAAAAGAGGGTAGAAGAAGCTAATAATAAACTGGTACCTGTAAATTGACAGGAATGAACTTAAAGGTAATAAAATCACATATAGGCCAATACATAATTGCACCAAGCATTGTTGAAAGAAAATCACGTTTTAAGCGTGCAACTATCTCTGATCCCGTTTCACCTGGCAACCAAGAGAAACAGTTTAACACTTCATAACAATTTTGGCAGAAAATCAACTATGAAACAGTTGAGTTTCAACACAGAACTTCATTTTGTTCATAAATTTTGGATTCCACGCACATATTGTTTGGTTCAAAGTAAGGGAAATGGAATAATTTATTACTGTACACTGGCTGTAAACAAATAAAGCCATTAAATTCAAATTAAAGATATAGTAATCAACAATGGGAAATGACTTCCCTTATTTCTCCTTGTTTCCTTTTCCTTTTTACATCTCTTCCCTCGCACATTTATAAGCAGAGACTCTTTCATATTAGTTGTTTAATGCACAAACAAGAACAACCAACCGATGCATGAAATTGGACATATTGGTAAACACAAAATACCAAAAACACATGCAAGGTAAAATGTAATTCAATACCAGCACATTTAATACTTTGCAACACAACATTAATCAAGATGCATGTACAAAGCATATCCTCTGCATCTTGAAAGCCAGGTTACATTTGTTGAAGGAAGAACAAAACTTCATGACCTTGAATATACTAATAAAAGAAATAAGCCACCGGGCATACAACAATGCAGTGCCACATTGTAAAATTGCAAGTTTATGATTATTTTATAGCTTTTTAGAAGTGACAATATGAAGTTAAGGATTAAAAAAAACACAATAACATAGCCAGATGACAGCTCTAGTTGTCTTGTCCAATCTTTTTAGTTTTAAAATAGCATTATTCAGTTTCAGAACATTACCCCCTCTCCCCACCGCTCCAAATTAAAAGGCCAGTAAAAGAAAAACATGTACAAAAGGAAACTACATGATAGATATTATGGTAAGAGAATTGAACATACCCTGCAAATGTGCATTCAATGAGAAGAAAATAACAGTCATGGCAGGTCCATAAATTGTCTGACCCAAGACCATTTTCTTCAATGTAGAGAAAATATCCCTCCTCGGGAAAAGCTTCGACACAAAATTGTACCAGAAATGCAGGGATGGCCCTAAAACTATCATGCCATATCCTGCCATGCGTGAAGTCCTCATAAAATCAAAAGCTTCAGAAGAATCCCGTACAATAGTCTAAACGATTAACAAAATAAATACCATGAGTACGTTGGACAACACAATGAGTATGAAGTATGCAAGTTAATGAGTTGAAAATGTCTATTCAATAGAGTAAAAAAGGTCTCAAGTCTGCAGTGAACCAATGTAAGTATTGCAAGAATTTATTAGACTCAGCCTTGAGGCTTCTAAAACTTAACCATATAGCTTCAGAATATTAAGTGAACAGCAAAAACTTTTACCACATTGCATGGGAAATACACAATCATCGACACATTCAAAACATGTAAGAGTATATTTTAATGATTTGAGGTTATAAATATGAATCTTTTAATGATTTGAGTATATTTGTTGCTCCCTTCTTATCATTAATTTCTTTTAACTCTACAAAGTACAAACTAATAACAATTTCAAAACATACTCCACTCCTACTTATAGATTCTATTCAGAGAAAAATGGTCAGAAGAAAAATATGGAAAAAAGATCTTTAGTGATTGTGCAGTGCACTCAAGGATGGCCAAGCTAGATTATCGTGAAAAATGATTGAACTTTACATGAAAGAGAATGATGTGATAGTGATACAAAGTAAGTGGCAACAAGTCAACAAGCAAAGATCTATCTATCAAGAGAAAACAAAAGCCATGTTCTCTGCATCCAGGGCACTGCTAGAAAACAAAAAGAACTTTTTCACTTCATGTATTGTCCAAATGTTAAATAGGTGCATACTAGCATCTGTGTTGGAAAACAATTAACTGTCTACCGGTCACAGTGAAATATTAGTAACAAAATTAGATAGTACAACTTTTTCTCAGGTTTCCCACAAGTATCCTCCCTGAAGCAGTCTTAGTCAAGGCACAGTCAAGCACTAAAGCAAGGTATCACTCAAGGTATCAATCTGAGTTGGGATTTCATCCATAGGTTGCCAAAAAAGACCACCCTTACCTGCTATACTCAAATCCCATGGGTATTAGAAACTACAAATTGAATGCTGAATTGGAAAAAAAAAAACACTAACTTGAGGATATTCAGGACTGTAGGAAAAACCAAAAAATGTTTTCGATGAAAATAAATTATATTGCTTAAAATTAACAACATTCAAAGCATCTTATGGCAGAGTGACACTCCAAACGTACCAGGGCAACAATAAAAATCATGGAGAAACAGAACAATACACTGTGATCATGGTACTATTTCAGGTAACATTCCTACAGTTTTATACTTGTACAGTTCCCTCATATTTCATTTCACATTGCATGTCCAAATAATGAAATATTTACAAGAGCAGGCAGAGAAAGAAAGAGCAAAAAGAACCAGGAACGAGCAGGATAGTAATTAGTTCTAAAGCTAAGGAGTTGTTTCTAGGTTCTAATATAAGACCACTTCAGTCTATTTGAATTGCGACAGCATTAGTCAAGGCAATGTCAGAAATTGCATTCCAAACCCTAAAATTTTTACTGTGTAAGGCAATAAATCAACAACCATGAACCCGACAGAAAACTGTTAATTTTTCAAACACAGACAAATGCATTCTCTCTTCCTTTTTAGTCATCAATCTTATCATAACAAAAGAGATTGAATAGTAGAGATCAGTAGACCTGGGAAGATAAATCAGCACCCATATAAATGAGTGAAGAAGTAACACTTTTTGTCAAAATTGGCCAAGACTTGATCATCCCCAAATACCAACTCACAAAGCCAACCTTGGAGAGGGAAGTTGCAACAGCAGATGAAGAAGAAGAGGAAGAAGAGCAAAAGGATGAACAGAACAAAGACAACGAATTTTCATATTCTCTGGGTTTTCTGAAGAAATGTGGCAATCTAATAAAAGGTTTAGAATGCACTGTGTTGTAGAGAAAAGAAGAGGTTTTGATTGGATGAACGACGTGGTTCACCAACATGAAGTGCCTCTGCATCCCCATGACATGAGAAATCTTAGCAGAGTTCATGCGAAAAGCACTGCTCATTTTTTTTTTATCTGAAGTTTTCGGTTTGGGGGTTTTGGGCTGCCTTCAACACAGAAAGGTTGAATCTTTATAGATGAAAATTAAAGTTTCAGTTGTCAAACATCCCAGTTCATGGGAATTTTGTGGTGTGTGTGGTTATGGGAAGTCAGAAAAGGAAAAAGGGTTTGGGGACTTCAAAACCCCAACTTCAGTTCAATGCACATGCAAAGGTTCACCAGCCCCTTCTTCATCAATCACCTGAGTCTGTTTCTATTATAGAGTTTTCTTTTTCTCTCTTTTTTTTTTTTTTCTAAAGTTCCAAAAATTGTTTTTTTTTTTAGACGTTTTATTAGTCACATAAAATATCAAAATTTCTTTGAAAGTATTTAAAAATTCATAATTACCGATAGTTAATGAATTCATACATTTGATGGAACTATTTTAAAATAAATTTTTTATTTAAAAATTAAAATATAATTATTTATTTAATTAGAAAATTATAATTCATTTATTAACCTTAAAAAGAATTAAATCCACTTTTGTAGGGATTATAATTTTACAAAATATACTTTTATTTTTATAAAAACATTAATTATAAATTTAGTCTTCCCATTTTCAATTACATATTTCCGCTAGCAATTAAATAATATATTAACAGGAGTTAGACTTGTATGTTTGAATTAAGTTTAATTAAAAACATTAAAAAAAATTACAAGTTCAGTTTGGTTCGATAGTTTTGTGCCACACATGTAAATGTCAGTTTCTTTTGATGACACGTATATATTTAACCTAACACGTTGTTGTTATAAACTATATTTGTTTTTGAATTATAGGGTTGCCAAAGTTGAAAAATCAATTTTGTAATTTCATGAAAACCTGTGTGTACACGAAACAATCTTCCCATACCAATTTTAAATATAATAATATCATGATTACATTTTAACTAATTTCAAATTATCTCACCATAATCTCTAAATTAGTTTACATAATTATAGTTTGTCGTCATCCTTCCTCTTTTTTAAAGACCTTGTAATCAAAATCTTCTTCATTTATGGTTTCAGTCATTCTTATGGTGATTTAATTTTTTAATTTAAAAATCAATAATTTATTACCCAAATATTGTTCCAAATTAATAACTTATTATATTTTTTATACAGAGAAAAGTGTCATGGAATTAAGAATAGTTTTTCATTTTATTTTGATTTTGGTTTTGGTCATTCTGAATCACTGTAAAATTTTGGTACTTGTAAAATGTAAGTTTGATAGGAGTGATACCTCTATTAGTACTTCGATTTTATTTCTTTTCAAATTTCAGCATAACTGTCAGCATTTTTTACTAAAATTAAAATAATTAGGATTTTCCTTTTACTCTACTAAAATTAAAATAATTAGGATTCCCCTTTTACTGTATAATTATGAATAAACATAGTATCAAATTGTTCATACACACTGATTCTAAAACAAAATGCAGATTGTGTCATTCATACACAGTACAAAATAAGTAATCACCTTTGGTTTTAGTTTTCTTTCTTGTCTCAAACAATGCACAACTTTCTCTTATGTTTCATTTCTCACAAAGGAAATGCAGAGTCATAGATGCAATTCAAAGCAAATAGTCACTTTTATAGTTTTATTTCCTCTCTCAAAATGCAGATACAGAAGTCTTCAAATTTTCTATGTTTAACAAGTAATTTATTTTAAAAGCTGTAAAATACCTTTACTTATATGTGTAAATTACTGTACTTTTGATTTATACTACTATCATTTGACAGTTGAATTAGATAAAGTTATTTTCTTTGATTTATTACAATTGAGTCTGTATTTGCAATGTATATTCTGTGTCCTGAGTGTTCAGAAACTATTAATAGATTTCATCAGAAGTCTTAACCATTTTGGAATGCCCTCATCAAAATTTTATTAGATCTAAAATACTTTAACTAAAAATTGATTTAATCTTCGAATGTTTTGCATGGTTAAGAATCTTCATGAGTTTCTTCCATGAAAAAAATAATCTTTACCAGTGTGACTGTGAGAGGTATTTAAGTTTCACTTATTATATACATCTTACTGCAAAACTATGCCATAAAGCCATGGAAAGATGTTATTAGATAGATGGACATACAAGCCTGACATTTTTAGATTCCTATTCGGGTCAAACATACATCATTAACAATGTTATTTACACACAATTGTTTTTCAGAACATTTTTAAATCACTTCTTTCTTTATAACAAAATAAGAAAAACACATATTTCAACTTTTTCCCATCTAAGAGTGTAAGAATGGTGAGGAAATTTTGATGGGCAATTAACACCACCCTTTCCCTTCCTTTCCCAAGTAAACTAAGCCTCTTCCTTGCGATTTATATCTTTCTTCAGCATCCAAAATCATATGGAACAAGTCCTTTCAGTTCAGGACCACAAAACCTGTTGTTTTCAAAACTGAAACAAGGAGAAACATTTCGTAAATACTAAATCAATTAGATTAGTGTTGAAATCGAAACTATTCCTGCTTCAAATTAATTCACAGGCGAAGATTTTGTGCCATCACGTTTGCAAATGCACCAGTGTATTTTATCTTTTGGATATTTCATTCAAATCTATTAGATCTCATGCATGCATGTCAAATCCTATCATCTAATCCTGTAGAGGAATAACCTCGGCACCGTGCCTAATGATACTAGTGAGGAAGTATTGCAAGAAAGCTAGCACTAGATGATTTCTGGTTTTTCGTGTTTGAATCCAAGTATCTAACAGAAAAATAACACTAACTATTCGTATTGGTATTGACGTTTTTACATGCTTGGTGCAAGAAAATGTGTTGTCAGTTTGAAATGACTAAACCTTGTCTGTTTATCAAAACATGTTTGGATTGGTAAGCCACTTATTAAGAATATGGGATGACAATGAAAGATTTGGTATACCTTTCCATTGGGAAAGATTCGAAGTTGCCCTCGACTGGTATTGTTCCACATAGGTCGTTATTAGAAACATCACTGCAAAAATTGGTGTTCAAAAGTTGCTGATAAACTAATCGCAGAAGTATATAAAAGAACAAGTATAGAACACAAGATGCAAAGAAAACTCACAGGATTTTGAGATCAGTGAGATGAGTGAGTTCTCTTGGGATGGATCCTGTCAACTTGTTGTTGTTTATCCGCCTAATTCAAAAATGCGTGAGTAAAACAGCCAGCAATTTTTACATCAGTAAAAACAAAAATCAAGAACAAAAGGTCAACAAAATTTTGGCAAATCAGCATAAACACGCTTACAGGAATTTAAGTGACTTCAACTTTCCAAAGGACTTTGGAATCTTTCCCTCCAACTTGTTATCATACAAATCCATGCTGATTAGTGACTTCAAGTTACCAAGTTCCTCAGGAATCTTTCCTGTTAAGTCATTTCTGTAGAGTTCCCTGTAATCAAGAATTTCACAATCTCTCATCCGTTTCTTGAAAAACTAACCTCCACCCCACAAAGAAAAACAAAACTTTTGCGTATTTGGTTAAGCAAAAATATAATCCAGTTGTCCCGACATGCGTTTGGTTCAACTTAGTTAAAGAAATGGCTTGATTTTTATCAGTTTCTAGAGAGAAATTAGTCATTGAAGTGGTTATTTTCTACAAATAATCTGCAAACACGTGCAAGACGCGATTAAACTAAATTGTAGGAATAGTCCATAGTTTGGTGCTCTCCTAACTCTAGCCTGGGACAAAAAATAATGTAAACTGGCACAAAATAAAACCCAAAAATTAACTCGTTCAATTGCACTGTTTGAAAATTGTCAGATGGCACATGTTTTTAAATCAAACAACAGATCAAACAGGAGCTAGTTTCTGAATTTCTGAGCTATAACAGGCAAGGGAAGAAGACCATACAGGTACTGAAGATGCTGTAGCTGGCCAAGTTCTGGGCCCAGAGTCCCAGAAACGTTGGAGTTGCCCAAGTCTCTGAAATCCAAAGATTATACAACTTATTAGAAAGCCCGAACCAGGTTACTGCAACCAAAAGACTCAAAAGAAAAACAAAACATGATGGTTGGAGTCACAGGTAAAAGAAAAAGAAACTTATATCTCTAGAAGAAACTAACAGAAAGAAAAGAAAAAGGACAAAGGGATTCTTACAAGCGAATCACATGATTGTTGGAATCACAGGTAACATGGAACCAAGTACAGGAATTAACCAGTGTTGGGTCCCAACTCTGCAACACATTGTTGGGATCAGAAAGCCTGCTTCTCAAAGCATGCAGAGCATTCCCTACACAATAATTTGGATCAAATCAAACTATTAAGACCAAACCAAGTCCCTTTTCTAGCTTAGAAGAGGCCAAAGAAAATTGATAGTTTTGGAAACACAATATGCATTTAAGCATGTCCATTCCCAAGAAAAATAAAATTAAGAAAAGGAAAACCAAACAATTGAAACAAAACAGCATATGATCTAGCCATAATAAGAGCTTTGATGATTAAGTTCCCCAGGTGGCATTAACTCTTGAGAAACCAAATTGAGCATCCTCAACTGAGAAAAATGAAGCAGTAGGGCATACCTTCCGGATTGGTGGACAGGGATAGGAGGGGGTAATGGAGAAAGAGAAACAAGAAAGAGAGGGAAACGAAAGGTGTCACTGCCATTATTCCTCCTTTGTGAGCAATCTTTTGGTTGAATGAGAGAAAGTAAGAAAGAAAGAGGTAGACTTTGGAAAGAGGAAGGAAAAAAAGGTGAAGGGCAAGGACTAAAGAAGAGAGAAGAGAAGAAAAAAGTGGACCAAGTTGGCAGTGGTTGGAAAAAGAAGACTGAGTCATGGTCAAATTATTATATTATGGTTCAAACGGGCGATGATTGGAAAAGTCACGCATTGGTTGTGTTGTGTGAGATTTCAGTGGAGTAAGTGGTGAGATAGATAGTCTTCCAAGCGCGTTCTGTGGGGTACCCCACCCCATCTATTGGAACTTGGTGACTTGTGAGTTACTAAAACTTATTGTTATTATTGTTTATTGTTTTGTTGGTGTTACTTCTTACATGGTTTATGGTTACTTGAGAAGGAAACAGTATTGACTGCAGGACAGAATGGAGCACTATGAACTAAGTTGTCTGAACTTGTGGACATGACCATAAACGTGATTCCTCATCACTGTCTTCTTCCCACCTAACATCTCCACTAAATTGGAATGAAAGTTGTGGACTTTGTGTCTTCTACTGTGGATGCTGTGTATCAATGCCACCACTCTGCATTTGTTAGATTGGACTACTCCTCTTTTGGTACTA